CCTTTCTAACCAGTTTCTTAATGTTAAGACGAAATTCATCAAGGAAGGTGCCGTAGTTTTTTTCTTACCCTCCAAGATCATCCTCAGTGGCAAATTACAACGACAAACTGTGATCGTTGTGATGATGTAAAAAAAAAAAAAAAAAAAATTAAAAAAAAAAAAACAAAAAAATACGCGTAAGCGCGCGCTCTGTTATAATTATTTTAAAATATAAATTTATCCGTTGTAGCTACGGTTTTTTTTTGCAAAAAAAAAGTGTCTCAATGTAAGAGAGCTTATATCTGTGTTTGTGAGGGGGTGTCATATGCCCTAGTCGACGAATGGGTTTATAAGGCAATCATACGCCGACCAGAAGATATATACATCATCACATCTGTGGAGAGATACAGGCTATCTCTCTCAGATCATGACAATGGAGAATTAGTAAACAAAAAACAAATATTTTAAAGAACACTGTTCTATTAGGATAATCGAACAGTAATCTTTTCCCAGGTTCGCTTCGGTTTCAACACGAATACTGATCCACAATTCAAGGATGAACGATAAGGCGTAATGAATTTTGATATAAGAACTTTAATATGTACAGATATACATATTATTAAAATAAAAGAAAAGCATGAGTAAAACATCCGACGACCAGATCTCAAGACTTATGTTGGTATATCAAAATATGCCTAACTCCAAATGGATTCGACTGAACCCGAACGGATAAAAATATAAGTATGAATAACTACGAATGCAGAAATCAACACATAACCAAAAGAGATGGGATAGGAGTTACATATTATTATTTTGACATGTGGAAAGGTGTTTGTAAGAACATAATATTTATGGATGCATGTGTATCTTTCTAACACGGGTCCAAAATATATGATTACTTATATTTATATTCAGTTCTCTTTTTTATCATTGTGCTTTCTTTTCTTTCTCACGTTTCCTCTTTTCTTTCTTTCCTTTTCTTGACACAAATACGATTTCACACACTGTCCGGCTGTAACAGACATATACACTTTCTTCCTCTCTCTGGTTTTCTTTCTTTCTTTCTTTCTTTCTTTCTTTCTTTCTTTCTTTCTTTCTTTCTTCTTCTGTATACAGTTCAGTTTCAAACACGATTCAACTGCAACAGGGATATACACTTTCTTCCTCTCTCTGGTTTTCTTTTTTCTTTCTTTCTTCTTCTTTAGACAATTCAACTTGTAACAGAGATATATACTTTCTTCCTTTCTGGTTTTCTCTTTTCTTCAAACGTAGGCTGTATTCTCAGTGTAAAAATTCCTTCGCGACTTCTTTGAAAAATAACGCGAGCTATCGTCTTCAATTTGGGGTTATCGAACAGAAATACATGTTCTTATATTTCTTGTCCGGAGTTGCCTGGGATGAATCGGACAAGTTCCATATTTAACAAATGAATCTCATCTTTCCGTTCATAAGTTATCAGCGCTTAGATTTCGAGTCTTGCTCCTTCAAAGACAAGACAGCAACTGACTCCCAAGTAATTTTCTAACTCTCACGTGTCCTGCGTTTTGGCGCGAATTCCAGCTTACATCAGTCTCCTGTCTGGCTTCTGTCCAGACATCTGTTGCTACGGGTAATTGGGTCAGTCAACCTCTTGACTTGCTTTCCTAAAATGTCTCAAGACTTACATATGACCTCTTCTGTTGCCAGGCGGAGATTAACCTTAATAAAATGCGTGTTTGGGGTATCTGCGTCCGTCACGGGGTGGGGGGGATAAAAATTGGCAGAGATGGCATTGAATCCACTTCAACACGTAGCTGATACACTCTAACTAGACAATTTGTAAATAATTTTTTTACCGATGTTTTCACTGATGAACACTCGTAAGACAAAACTAGATTATTTCATCAAAGCACAATCTACATTGACGAGATAAAATATGATTTGTGTTTGATACATTTTCCTTCGGGTTTTTCCTACCCCACATTGTTTCACTCCTAATTTGGAAAGAGCAGGCGATAAAATAAAATAACCCGGTCGTAAATTATGTTACTTTCAGTACATCTTCCTTTGAGTTAATTCGTAATTTTTTTAATTATTAAAACACCCTTTTCCATGTCAAAATTATTATCACGGATGTTCTGGTGGCATTGAGTGAGTTGTTTAATATTAAGTTCCATTTATATTCATTTATTCTTTTCCTTAAAGTTTTATTTTGACATTTCACCGATGAACTGGCATCATCAGAAAAAAGTATTTTATTTCCCTAAGTATAAAATTTACGCCAGCTAGACAAAACCTGATTCGCGATAAGTGGCTGAACAACTCATTTGTACTTTATTGTTATTGTAAATTAGAATAAGAATTAAATCGTTATAGAATTATTTAAAGTGGCAGTCCTTCATCTTGCGTATCATTTTCTTCCTTTACCCGTCGCACACGCAGATAGGATAGGGGAGGCCGCGCGTGCATTCGGGTCTGGTCCGAAAATATAACCCAGGGGAATTATGTTAAACATTTTTTAACGGAGTTCAAACTAAGCAAAAGAAAGTAACACCACTAAGACACAAGGGGTTCCTGGGTGTGGAAGAATCAGAAAACAGAATCATACTTATTATAAAACCCAGGTTGTGTGTGTGTGTGTGTGTGTGTGTGTGTCTGTACGTTTATATATTGGATCGGATTTCCTACATTTTTCAACCGATTTCAACAAAACTTCACAGGACTACGTAAAATTACCTTGCAGTGGTTCTAACAGCGCTAAAAATTGGAAAAAACACAATTGTTTTTGCACGAAATCAATTTGAAAACACGATTAAGAAGGATCACGAGAATGAAAGGGGAATAACTCATATCGAGTTATATTTATTATAAAAACCTAGGTTGTTTTGTGTGTGTGTTTGTGTGTGTGTGTGTGCGTGTGTGTTCGTTTATATATGGGATCGGATTTCCTACATTTTTCAACCGATTTCAACAAAACTTCACTTTATTTTTGGCAGGTAGTGTTTCTTATTGTCTTGCACACTTTTTTCTTTATTTTTACATTCAGAATGCTTTAAAAATTCCATTTACAAGACAATTGTTTATAAATAAAATTCTATTCAATCGGTAGACTCATAACGATTGAAAACAATGTTTTTGTTTGAGTTTGGGTTTGACCAATTCGTAAAAAAAAAAAAAAAAAAAAAAAAAAAAAAAAAAACTAATTAAGACATGCGTGTCCGTCAACCTTAAACAATAATCTTTGTCAATTTTATTTTTCAGTTTTTATGATGGTCGATACTTGATCTATCTCTTACTGTTACATCCCCGGGCAACGCCGGGCTCTACTGCTAGTCATTACTAAGGAGTGAAACCAAAAGAGAAGTAATCAGGAGTACAGCAGAAAACGTTTGACATTGCATTTAAACTTTTGAAGATTAAAGTTGGTTGGAAAGCATTGATCCGGATGGGTGTTCCACAAGTGAGATGTGCGATAGAATAAACACTTACCATAGAATTTACGGTTACATCTAGCCAACTTAACCGTAAATTGGCGAGACCTCGTCACCAGTCTTGTATTGCGCTAAAATTAATAAAAATCGAGGTGACATGGCGAAGAGCGCTATTTATTCTGCTATGTGACACAAGGCTAAAATAGGGAATGGAGAAAAGGACGGTCTTCTGTCTTAACGTTAAACTTAGCTAAGCACAAACACTGACCCAAACATACAACAATATTCCTTACAACACATTCTTACCTACTTTTCTTACTACAATCACCATAATACCTCTTGGTCTCTATGAAAATCTTAACTAAAATCCATATGTACATTTCATTGTCTGTGGTGGGAGTGGAAAGAAAACAATGGCGAAGAGCTCATCCTAGCAGTTGCTATGAAAGTATTTATAGAAAACTTTACGGTGGTGGGTAACTGATTGAAGCCGAGCCGTCAGATCAAGATTAATAATGTTGCTGAATCTTTGGATTTTATCAAGGATCTACATATATATACTGAGAGCACCAGACCATATATGGTAGTAATATTCTAAGCATGGACAAATGATAGATATAAATATGTAAGATTCTGGAGAGATGGATTTTGTTTTCATGGAAACCATTATTTTGCTGATATAATTTAGTCATGGATTAGGTTTGTTTTACAGCATATCAACATCAATGGGTTATTTAATGCCGATAAAATTTTCATTTTCCAAAAATGTATTGCTGCTAATATATTTTTTCTTCAAAAAATGTATTGCTGGTATTCTTTTTTCAAAAATGTATTACTGGTAGTAATTTTTACTTCAAAAATTTATTGCTGGTAATAATCTTTTACAAAAAATGTATTGCTGGTATTAAAACCTATTTTTACACTTTCATTGTGTTTTGACTCCAGTTTGGGGGTTAACTATTTGCCCATAATTGGTACCTTAACAGGTGCTACCACCCCGGGTCAGGGTGGACCTGGGAACACCAGCAATTAAGAGGTGGTTCCATGCTCCTCAAAACCTCCTGATCAGAGGCCTTGCTGCCGGATGTAGTTTATCGTCTTACCCAGGACGCGGATGTAGTTTATCGTCACCCCCAGGACGGCAGTTGTTCTTGAAGACTGAAAGCTTTTGTATGCCCTCTTTTTATAATGTCCAGCTTTTACAAGAGGACGATCACAGTAGAGTAGGATCTGGTCTTGATGCCGAATGGAATTATTTGATTTAAAAAAAAAATAGTTCTAGTTTATTTTAAGAAAACATTTTCTTTTTGTATAATCATAAATATAATAGATATACTGCTTACCAACCTTTTGCAGGTTATTTAAAGCCAGAAAATATTTTTAGATTGTAAGATTTTGTTGTTTTTTTGTTTTGTTTTTTTTGGATAGAAATGATTTAGTAGTGCAAATTTTACTAATTAACCCATTTCTGGGTGGAGAAAAGGTGGGTTCATAACTTTCCCGGGGGTATTTGCACATAAGTGAATATAAAGAACCTAACTGGCATTTGAACTCGGCCCTCCGATTAACAATTCCAAACTATTGTCCATTAAACCACCGGAACATCCAAACTTACAGCACGTGGTATTCCCAACTGGTCACCCATCTAGGCTCTGACCAGGTTCTACGTTGTTCAACTTTGGCGATCATACGGGAACCGGTGCTTCAACATGATATGGCCGTAATCTATTCTTGGAAAGGGTAATGGCTTCCGACTGCCTTCTCTACGGTCTGTAATTTAGAGTTGTCTTTTTTTATCTGATCTCTGGTTGACGTCAAAGTCTTGAATGCTCAGTCTACCCGGCTGGAGGATGAACAAATCGGTTCATGCTTTTTCCAAGGGCATTAATCTGAAAGTGGATACTCGCCCGGAGTTTGAACGCGACTCGTCGATTCCACTTTCCGAGCCGTTATCCACTACGTGTTAAGAATTTTTGAATATTCTATAGATGGTATTGTCACTCGCAGATATTCTTTATACTTCTTTTAGAAAAATTAAATTAATTATCTTGGAAGCGTTTTAACAGAGGTCGGAAAATGGGACACCGAAATCTTATGGCGCATTGGAATAACGAAAGATGCCTCCGAAAAGTTAAGCAAAGTATTAAGAAATAAGAAAAAAAATTGTTAGAAACAAAGAAAAAACTACTGAACTGTTACGTTATATAAATCCTCCTATATGGCGGTAAATGCTGGACAGCCTCCTCAGAGATGAAGAAGAGACTGGAAGCAACAGAAACAAAGAAAAAAATACTGAACTGTTACGTCATATCAGTCCTCCTATATGGCGGTAAATGCTGGACAGTCTCATCTCTGGTGAAGAAGAGACTTGAGGCAACAGAAATATAGAATTACACTTCTTTCTTTCTTTCTTTCTTTCTTTCTTGCTACCCGGTTGGAGGGTGAATAAATCGAGCCATGCCTTTTCCAAGGGCATTAATGCGAAAGTGAACGCAACAGACTAGGCCGGAATTTCAACTCCAATCGCTGATTCCACTTCCCGGGGACATGTATCGGGAAGCAGTACAGTGAAATCACAATACTATCGTTGTGGGTAGAGGTAGGAGTATAAGAAAATAGGAAACGCATGCTTTGATCCCCTTCAGGTTCCGGTAATTACTAAGGGTTAAAAAGGAAGTGCTGAAAACGGTGACAATCTAAAAGGTACTTAAACTGAAAAGGGGACGAAGAAGCGGAAAATAAAACAATCGAGGTGATTTTTTACGGTAACAGAACAATAGAATATTTAAATATGTTCTTGAAGCGTGCTTAAAAAATGTATTATAGCCGTTAAAACCACATAAAAAAAACACATTGTTAATATCAATCTATAATGATGACCTGACTTCTCATCGTATTACTTTTAATCAATATAAATAATGTCAAACCGGGAATATCACCAGATAATGGATATAGCTTTGGGAGAAAGGAATATTCTTCCATTTGTCACTCCCTATTATTTGTATTCGAGACGAAAGAACTGGAAGGAAAATGAATGACAAACATGATTTGTTCTCATGAGAGAGTTTTATACCGCTAGGTCATATGCACAAATATAGAAGAACTTGAAATAGTGATATCATAATGTCAAATGTTCAATTTATAGCCTACTTTGAGCTGATGAAATAGGCTTGGTAAGAATTATTAATTGACTAAATTCAGATCTGGAGTAAATAACAGATTTGTAATAAGTTGAGTTGCGAGCGACCAGAGGGGGAACATTTGGTTTATTACCATTATTTAACTTTGCAGAAATAAAAGCAACATTATATATATATATATATATATATATATATATATATATATATATATATATATATATATATAAAAAGAAAAACAGACCACTTTTATAATAATTTATTTCACCTTTTAAAAGGACGCCGGATCATCAGATAGCACTTCCAACAACGATATATATATATATATATATATATATATATATATATATATTTATTATTTATATATATATTTTTTTTCCACTGTGTGCACTAATAGCCTAAGGATGAGAGTTTTGATCTCGGCTTAAAGCCACACTGATGAGCTGTGATACAGTGAAAAAGTGTATTTTGGATGACTATATACATACATACATATATATATATATATATATATATATATATATATATATATATATATATATATATATATATAATTATATATATATATATTATTGGAAATTATAACATAAACATAAACATGTTATAAAACCACTACAAAAATATCCATTTTGTTTTAACACTTCTGATGTCTTATTAAGTGATGCTGTTATATTTGCTCCACTCTGTATTGAGTACTCTTTTAAGAATAGTATTTTTTGGCTTTTAGAATTTATTCTGTATACACCAGTCGTGAACTTATATATATATATATATATATATATATATATATATATATATATATAATATATATATATATATAATTCTCAAAATGTGTGTGTATGTGTGTCTGTGCGTGTGATCGGATGTTGTTCTTGCGTTTCCACAGTTTTCATCCGATTTCGATGAATTTTTTTTTGTTTTATAGATAATTCTTCAGTGCGGTTTTGAGTCCAAATTGTTGGCGAAAATGGCTCTCCACTACTTCCAGTCCATTATAAATCTCAGCATCGTTTTACTATTTATTATCTATTCTTGGATATATATCTTTCATAAAATCTTTAATAAAAATAAATAGTTTAAAGTATTACAATAATATTATTTATTATAATGCAGTTCTCTCTTCAGCCCCTCTTCAAATTGTTAGCCCCCTCCCCATTTGGGGATGTGCCTCAGTTTCACTCAAATGTTGTTGATAATATTGATTTTTCGGGTGGGCTGACTTTAAACTTATACGGCTCCTATTGAACGGCAAATAGGCAAATATACCCAGTAATGAAAGACCCGGTCAAAGACGGGTTATACTGCTAGTATATATATATATATATATATATATATATATATATATATATATATATATATATTTCATTGAATACGACAGACAAGGTGCTTTGATTTAATTTTTATACAATTTCTCATGTGATCAAATAATTTTTTCTTTTTGGACGATAAATTATATAAAAACTGTGTAATTGTTCTTTCTTTCCGAGCACTTTCGACTATACATTTAGCCATTTTCAAGGTTGAAATATATTAACTGTTACAAGAAATAGTTTTTTTTTCAAAACACGGTCAAGATATTATATCCATGTTCATAGTTGATATTATTGGGTGTTGAGTTTTATTGTTTTTATTAATAAGACTTCCATTATTTTTAGCCTTTTTTTTTGCATGTAGATGATGCTATTATAGTGTTGTCAACAAATATGTTACAATAAGGGTCTGGTATGTCTCCATGAATATTTAAATGAGATCTAATTGAGCTATGATCAGAAAGATGTAGTGTGAATCTTCTTGTCAAACATATTTGTAGTGTGGCCAATATAATTATTTACGAATTTTGATTGATCAGGAATACAATTCCTTAATGAACATTTAAATTCGTAAATAATATTTGCCCTGTTTAATTTTGTTCTAAGAGGTGAATTATTTTTAACTATAAGGTTAGAGGTTTTAACTTTTTTGTAATAAATAATAAACTTATTTTTTTTTTCTTTTGCTATTGTCAACTGGTGTTGTGCATTTTTTATAATCGGACAGTTTTTATATAATTTATCACCCAAAAAGAAAAAAATTACATCATATGAGAAATTGTATGGAAAGACTAAATCAAAGCATGTTGTCTGTCGTATTCATATGAAATGACAGACTGTTTCGCTGTATCACAGCTCATCAGTGTAGCTAGACATCCGGTTGCCTCTAGCTCGGATCGAAACCCGACTGGATTGTCGTCAGTTGGGGATTCTACTACTAAGCCGTTGGCGCACGGCAGGGATAAAGGTGAATTTTAACTGTATTTATTTTTAGATAAACACACAGTGACTGAGAGAACTCATCGATTTACCGAAGAGTCTTGCATCATTAGCCGTAAGAGTCACTGTTTACAAACTCACACTTCCTCCCCAGAGAGCTCAACCGAAATAAATTTTTCACGAGCATATATATATATATATATATATATATATATATATATATATAAATATATATATATATAGTTTGTTTGCAGCCCAGGGTTTCATGCTTTTGCAATCATCAGATAAACTGGTTTATTTTTTCAAAAGTAGATCTATTTATGCTTATTTGTGTTTGATTATTCGTTTGTGGTGGAGGAGGGAATTTTCTTTATATTTGTTTAGGATGTCACTCTTAAATACATAGACACACATATTTTAAAATTGTAGTTAAATAAAACGTATTCTAACCCAAACACCCCTAGAAATAATCTTTAAGTATACAAGTACGAAAAAAATGCCGAAAAACTTTTTGCCATTAATAATAAACAAAACAAACCCAGACGACATGTATTTAACGGATGTCAGAATTCGTTGAAAAATACACCCTTACCCTTCCTAAACTTAACCTCTTTTTCGAACGTAACTCATAATTGATACAACAATAGTTAATAAAACTGAACACGCTACTGATTGGATTTCTCTGTATCCTTGGAAACAGAAAATTATATGTTCATTTAAAACTAAGTAAATTTAAAAATAAGTCATTCCAATATTCACTTGAAGATAAAAAGGAACTAATGCTTACAATTTTGAAACATTGGTTATTACTGTGTAGCGAAAAACATATTTAAAATCAGTTAACTTTTGATATATATATGTATATGTGTGTGTGTGTGTGTGTGTGTGTGTGTGTGTGTGTGTGTGTGTGTGTGTGTGTGTATTATAGTTGATTAAATGTTAAAAATCCCTACACAATAGCTTTCATATTTCAGCACTAAGTTGTGCCTCTTCAAGTGATGGTAAATAACTGGTGAGACTTTTAAAAAAAAATTAAATGCTACAGACAGAGGAATTATGCTTTCTTATCTCATTTGTATATATATATATATATCTGGATATATATATATATATATATATATATATATATATATTCAGGCGTGTGCCAGGTGGAAAAAACATCGGTATAAACAAAATGCCCAGTGAAAAGAGGACACAAAAAGAGTCTTACGTATAATAATTCTAAACAGGAACTGGAGCTGCCGGAGATCCTTCTGTTTTTCTGGAGAAGCCATACTTACAATTCCAGATCCGAGTGGGCCGGATTCATCTGCTATATTACTATATTCGGCAAACGGG